GCAAATACGGCTGTTGAGCTCTTCAACGACACTTCGTCAGCTCCCCACTTTCTAGTTCGTCACTCCAGCCGGTTCTCATCGAGCCGTAAAGCGCTTTTTGCCCAGATGTTCCCCCATCTTTTCCCATACGGCCGCGGTCACCCAGGTGAGACGCGGCCGGTTCCAGTGTCACTAGAAGCTTGCATTCGGCACTACGGTATGCTGAGCTCACGTAGGTTCGCTGAAGATGAACTGTTCATGCTAGTTGCCTTCGACCACATATCGCTGAAGAAAATGTACATTCAGATAGCGCTTAAGTGCAAGCGGAGACCCGGACTGTTCGAGCCTTTCAGTGACGTGTCGGAGGAAGACTTAACGCAGGCGCTCAAGCAGAAAGGGCTTTACCGCCAAGGTCAAATGACTGCGCCTCGCAGTGGCCTGTCGACTGCGGAGAGACTGCTGCACTCAGTCGATATCAGTGGGGGCGCGATCTGGGGTAGTGATGCCGAACGTGCACAGTGTCGGCGACGAGCGTTTGCTTACCAGACACGCTACGGCCTGCCCGCGCTCGTCGCAGCAGCGCGTAGTCAGGGGGATGGCTTGGTAACGGCACGACTGTGCCGGTTGTGCCGTCTCGCACGAGTTGGAATGTGGTTGGCGGTTCGCTCGGGAAGTGCACGCTCTCAAGTATGCCTAGCGTGCCGTTGGCAACACCCTTTGCGGTGCCGATGTTTTGAGCTACCTGGACTGGCATGCCCGCAATCAAGTCCAAGTACGCTGTCATACGCCCGAAGCGTCCTGCGTGTCAGCGGACGTCCTGCATCACGGCCTCGTCCAGCGTATCGCCAAGCAAGCCACCTGCCTAGTGCCACTTCATGCAGCTTACCATTTTGCAAAGCAGCAAGGTTGAGTAACGTACACGAGCTCGATGTACCCGTACACCAAACGAGACCCTGCGCTTTAAAGAGAAATCCTCTGACGATGACCAAACGTGCACCGCCCCCCCCCGGCAATGGCTCGTGATAAAAAGTGCATAAATGTTGCGCGATGGATGCGCGAAGATCACTCGATGACGGTCGGATTGCCGGGAACACCGACCCAACGACAGTTCGTATACCACGAACTCCGAACTCTGACGATGACCAAACGTGCACCGCCCCCCCCCCTCCCCCCCCGGCAAGGGCTCGTGATAAAAAGTGCATAAATGTTGCGCGATGGATGCGCGAAGGTCACTCGATGACGGTCGGATCGCCGAGAACACCGACCCAACGACAGTTCGTATACTACGAGCTGCGCATTTTGAAAATCAAATTTCCTGCCCACAACCGAAACAACTAAGAACCCACTTCATCCTCGGCATCACGCACTGAGTGTGCTCGACGAAGAACCCGTCCTACGTTTGCGCTGTTACAATGCGCTGTGTCTCGCCCCCCCCCCCCCCCAGCGTAGTCGCCTCACGTAGCTGCAGCATTTTCATGTCTGCCGCCAACACGCCAATCTCCCGCGTGGGGCCACCGCAAGCTAACTGTCTGCGTTTGGGCTACTGAAGAGGGAGGCACAGTTGTTCTCAACATCCATCGACTACTTAGACAGCAAGAAGGCCTCGTCACCCACGTGGTGGTGCTGCTGGAGACGTACTTGGTGGAGCAGTTGGCAGAGTTTGAGTCGCGACGAGCTGCGTTCGCTTAGATCTTGAAGATACCTCTCGCAAAGTAGCCCATTTTTAGCAAAAGCGGCTGACAGCACCACTTTATGGCTTGTCACCGCCTCAAGAAGCTATGTTTTGAGGAAAATCTAAGGAGCCACGATGGCTGCAGGATATGCCTAGTTTGGCTACATATCACGACACTGGGAAGGGCTGGATGACAGGGGACACGGACCCGTACAATATCGTACCATCGAAGCGCTTCAGTGGATATGTGATGCCGCGAGCAAGGTGCCGTCACAGGATATTAGAAACTACTGGAGACATGCTGGGCTAATACGTTGATGAAGTGAAATTGACGATCTACTCAATCTGATCGAGTAAGATTTTAATTTTTTAATACCGGTACAGTACATTTGAGACCTCCTCAATTTATTTTGACTTACGTATTATTTTCGCCTTCAGTACTTAAGCCCTTTCTTATTGCCGCTACTCCCTGTACATGTACTCTTGTTTCCGGAAACACAAATTATTTGGCGACTAAAGCAAAAAACAGAGGACTAAAGTTTCGCCGCCAGTATCGTTGCCACCTCCTGCCCTCCTATGGGGAGGCTCTCAATCGCTTCTTGCTGGGTGCACTTGCAGTCGTTCTTGTGAAGCACAACATTTTTCCGCTTTACTTCGGACTTCCCCGGGAGGCTCTCCCGTGGCAGCCTGCGCTTGAATAAGCTGCCGCAATTTGCGACTCGATTTGCGACTCGCAAATCGAGCCAGAAAACAAGTCAGCTGATCAGTAGAGAAGGAACATTGAGGTGCGAGATGCTGCAACGTGAAGCCCAAAGTCTCGTCAAGTCTCGAGGGCTCCTCAGTCAGTGTGGATCCAATCTCTCCCGATTACGTCCACCCACCGGCAATCCACGTCCACGCCCAGAGGGCCCTCGACATGATCCCTTCATGCTTTGGGCCACGTGTCGATTTGTTTCACTTTTCATCTTGCCGTCTCGGAAGCAACTCCAAGTCTCGAAGAAGTCTCCAGCACAATGCCGATCCAGGTCCCCGGATATCACACCAACACCCCGCTGCACCCGTCGTTCGACGAGGACATCCGTGACCTTCACCTGCTGTACGACTACGACGCCGAGGGCGCCGATGGCAAGCCTGAGAAGTGGCGCTACGAGATGTGGTTCTTCTCGGAGAACCGTATCGTGTACTCGATCCACGGCGGTCCCATGGCCGGACGTCTCAACTATCAGACCGTCGCCTTCCAGTGCATCCGCCCGGGTGAGCTGTGGCAATGCAACTGGCTGGAGGAGACCGGCACCATCGTGTCGCTCGTGTACGACATCAAGAATGCTAAGATCACCACCATGATCGGCTTCTCTAAGGGCCACTGGGAGAACCCCGACGACGCACACGGCGACAAGCGCAACCCTGAGGACTATGCTCGTTGGCGCAAGCTGGCTGAGCACGGAAACAACCGTGACCGCCTCATCCTGAGCGAGCAGGCCACCATCCTCGAGACGTTCAAGGGCGCCGGCAACCTCGTGCCGATCGCCCCCGACGCTGAGACCCTCTAAGTGTGTTGGTCAAGCAGGCGTTAGGGACATCTATCCGTGTTAAGACTCTGCGTTGAGGTTAGACCACCTGCTCGCTGCTAACAAACAGTAAATAAACCCCCGATCTTGCGCGTATACTTGCATGCACCACTGTCTACACCTTGATAAGTAACGGCCTTGGCTGACGTCATTGAGAGCACTTATCTTTGAGGTGGTCATTATATCGTAATATTTGTCTACTTGTACGTGGCTGAATGGTACTTCTGACTACCTGCTCCATCCTTGGGCCGCTCCAAACTTGACGGGCGGCTCTCACTTTTCATATTGCGATTTCACGTCGGCGGCTGCTTCGTTCGCATCGTTTGTTGCCGGGTTCGTCACTTTCATCCTTGTACAGCTCATCTTGCTTATTTCTTGGGCGTCAACGTGTTCGTCTCGACCTTCCAGGCTGCCACTAGCTCCAGCTGCAGCTTTTGCAGCAATGTGTGCTTCGTGTCGACAGCCAGAGTCTTGAGCAGGTCGAGGAACCGCGTCATCGACTCGCGCTTGAACGGCAGTGCCAACAGCAGCGGCACGGCGTCCACAGCGTAACCCGCGCACACGAACGCTGCCACTGTGGGACTTAGAGGGACACGCTGAGCCTGTGCTTCCTTCACATTAGGCTTAGCTCCCGATTTGTTCGCATTTTGCTTCTTGGCATCGCTTTGGGGGCGCTGCACGCACTCCAGCCAGTTGATACAGAAGTCCGACAGCGATGATGTACTACACTCGACCATCCACAGGGCCAGAGAACGTCGCACGGCCGGGTGCACGGCCACTAACGCAACACCAGCATTCTTGACCTCTCGGAACAGACGCATGTCCACGGGAAACAGCGCTGCGCCGAGCTTCTCCAGCTGCGTGACCTTCGCACGGCGCTCATCCGGCGAACCGGCAGTAGGCGCCGCCGTGGCGAGGTACAACGGCGTCAATCCAACCGTGTTTGCCTCATTCACCTCTTGCACAGCCTTCTTTCCCAACAGCGACAGCACCAGCTGCACGTCCGCAGCGGAGCCGTAGCGTGCGGCGTAATGCAGAACTGATTCGTTTTTGCCCTTCGTTCGGGCGTTGAGCAGGAGTTCAGCAGACTTGGACTTGCACAGCATTTCCACCAGCTTCTTCCGCTGCTTTACAATCGCCAGGTGCAGCGCCGTCTCGCCACGCGCATTCACGACATCGATACTCGCGTACTTACCGTCTAGTAAGAACCGGACGACGTCGATTACGCCGAGCTCTGCGGCTTGCAGCAGCACGGCACCAGAAAAATCCTGTCTTGCGAGCGTTGCGACCAGCGAGTGGTGGTTTAGCAGCAACTGAAGCGCTGTGATGTCTCCACGTTTAACTACGATCGTTAGGGGAGTCTCGCCGGTCTTATCTGGGAGATCAATCGGCGCACCGCGAGAAACCAGCAGGTTCGTCACCAGTACGCTTTGCTCGGCAGACGCTCGCAAACACGCGTGAAGCGGGGACCTACCAGCCGAGTCCTGAGCGTCCATGCGTGCTCCATTCTCCAGTAATAGATTTGCGACCTCAAACAGCTCGTCATTCGTGGCGAGAAGCAACGCCGTCTTGCCTTCCTGATCACGCGCTTCCGTCTTCGCTCCATGACGCAGTAGTAGCTTCACTACGCTCAACGTGTGGTCGAGTCGCGCGGCGTCCTCCTTTCGGCACTGTTACGTATAAACAAACAACTCGTCAGTCTCAGCCAGACCATCAACAAAATAACGCGCCACCTACATCCATGACCGTGTTGAGCTGGACGACCGCCGTTCCCTGGAAAACTGCACGCAACGCTTGCACGCTGTGCCTCATGAGCGTCGCCATCAACGCCGTGACGCCGCGACGGCCGCGCTCGTCCACTTGCTGGCCTTCTTTGAGCAGGAACTCGAGGACATCGTAGTTACCGTCCCACGCAGCAGCGTGGAGCGCCGACGCTCCCACCGTCGGAAGGTGGAACTTGTCCCAGTCGCAGAAGGACGTCGCTTCATCGCTGTCATCGACGTTCTTGGGACTGGATTTGAACGCCACAACCTGTCATGGCCACCAACACACAGAGGAACACCACACGATGTGCATCAGCGACACCTTGCAGACGCGACGGCAGGCAAATCGGACGAGGCGAGCGGACAAGAGTAGTACTTGGTTTCGCTGCACCGCGTCGGAACGGGAGAATGGCTACGTACGCGATCCAGCGCGAGCCACTTGGGATGCGTCTTGCGGAGACTTTGCATGCTCTTGGTATCACCTCGTCGGCCAGCGTCGAGCCACGCTCGCTCCACCTGCTCGCAGGTGAGCGCGCCTGGCTTATTCGCCGCCATGACCGACCCTTTGTTTCCTTCACTCTCTGCCTTCAATTCCACGGGCAGGTCGGCGGTTGGTCGGCGTGTTCGGGAATGATCTACGGCCGGACGGACCCGATCTTATTCGGCGGCGTGCAGCGCTTGCAGGCGCCTAACCTGTTGGCTGTGACGTACTGCAACAGGCTCGCAGCCGAGTCACTCGTGGCGCTGCGCATCCTTTCGGAAAAAAAGCGACTCGAGACTTGAGTCCGTCCGTGGACGCAGGCAGGACGAAGGAGAACACGAAGACGGATAGAACGCGCCGTGGCTGGCTGGCAGCCGAGGAATCAAGCCTTGAATGTGGCTCAGAAAAGGCGAGGAAGCGCCCCAGCCAGCATATGCGTGGCAGGATAGTCTTTCGCGTCCCATACCATCGGATATTTGGTTTTTTTCCACTTCTTGTTTGGCTTGGTGGCCGCAAACTCCGTGTAATAGGCTGCTCAGCGTTTACGTCTGCACCAGCCATCACTTGCCTCGTTTCTGAGATTTGCATCCAAGATCCACCGCTGTCTCTGCACTTGCCAAAACTTGCCTGCTGGGTCTCGAAAATGCTGCTCATTTTAATTACTGGTAGCTCTACAAAAATACACAAAGAAGAAGGATATATTGATGACGAACAGCAGTATCAGTGTCCAATCGAGGTACACGTACCGATGCGTTCTTTACTGTTATGCCAACGAGCACCATAGGTGCTGCACGAAAACTCGAAAGGCTGCGCCAACGTGCAGCCTCCACCAACAAGTGGCTACATTCGGAGGCTGTGATTAGGCAGGCTCACAGATCCTGAGTTCTGCTCTTGAAGCAGGCGACAAGAAGAAGAATGACTGCCCAACGCAATGTAGCGATTTCGCTACAAAGATTAAAAAAATCAGCGCGGGTGGCTCCAGTCAAGCGAGGCGATTGATACATGTATCGTTCTTGGGCGGACCTTGCTGCTCATTGAGCAGTGCTCGTTGAAAAAAAGCAGGAGAATGCCAGGATGTTTTGGCGAGTTCGCAGAGCTGTCAGCCACGCGCTACGTTGCTGACCTGATATCGAGTGACAAATTTTCGCCCTGCGTGTTCACCTGATACCATGGTAAGCAGCAAGGATGTATGTGTCGCGTCTCCAACGTGTATGTTTATAGACTGTGCGTCACCAAAGCAATTCGGCATCGAGCCCAACGCATCGAAAAAGCGAGCACACAAACCGTAATAACGCTCAAACTTGTGGGCTGGCATTACCGGTATCATAATACGGTACCAACAGTTTGCGACGAATTATCGTGTCATGCACCTCGTTTTCGGCCCCGGTATGGCTTAATAACCTGCACAATCTAATGATTGCGCCACATGCATTGCGCAAATGAGTTGCCCATCTCCTTTGGACCAAACAACCTCAATGGTTAGCTGTTGGAATCACACTGGTATTGTGTTGAAGATGGATTTGAGATTTGTATCTAATTAAGGTAATACAAAGTAGTACATTTGGATTTCATCTGTTCCTCTATAAATATTGTAGACTCTATATGGTCCACCCCGCCGAATACGAGGTGGACGACTGTACTAGCCGAGCGCCGCCGCTACGCGGCGGTAATTTAGGTGTAGTTCTCCTTGATTGGCATTCCCGCCTCCGCTACGCTTCGGCGGGATAACTATTGAAAAAAACGCTGAGCCCATGTGCACCTAAATCGATTCTTTTTAACTAATGCCGTGCTAAGCCCGGTGAAGCTCTGGATATTACGGTATTTTCAAAAAGTAATAACTAGTGCGGAATGAAGGACTTTTTAGAAGAAAAAAAGGAGAACAATTGCGATTTAACTAAGACTTCCAGTCTAGAAGAAGACATCAACAAACCGAGCGAGAATGATAGCCATTCATTTGAGTGGCTATCCCCGAACTTCGAAAACTTGAAAACAAGTTGATACCCTAACTTAAGAAAGTACTGACCCCATACCCGGCTTACATTAGCCTCGACATGTACATTGCTTTCCGTGAACCGTTTTCTTGTGGATGGAATCTCTGGTTGGGAGATCGAGAACTAGCTACCCTGTCACCCGAGCTGAAGAAGGAACTTCCAGAGATATCCTTTGATGAGAAAGCGGCCAATTTCTTTCGATTGTCGGTCTGATAGAGAAAGAAGCGAGATGTGGAAGCTCAAGACACCACTGAAATCCCGGACGGAGCTGAGATATTCGTCGAGCGGGTGACGGGACTAAACTTGTTCGAGAACAAGCTTGCCCAAGGAAATGCAAACCGAATTGAAATGGTAACGAAAGTTTGTGACACTGACTCCGAGATTGAGTGTACAGCTTCTGGTGCCAGCAGCAAAACCATCAACGACGCTCTGACCGACCAAGAGCTGCCTCACCCAACCCCACGTAAGAAGAGCCGACATGGAAGAGAACTTAAGACACCTCCTACCAGCCAAGCTCACACCACCCCTCCGCTGGTGACGCCGGAAACGAAAGTCGCGGCGTCGAAGAAGGCATAAATGGAGGCGTCTACAGCGCCTTAAGCATAGGCATATGCTGATAGGGATCCGCATTCGGTTTGGACACCCGAGTGCTTTACTTGTTATGCAATAATAAAGTACCATCCCTCCCTTTGAAATACCCGACGTGGTAATTCGTTTTCTTCCTCTGATGTGTGTGATGTGTGTGATGTGTGTGTGTGTGTGCGTGTGTGCGAGTGTGTGTGTGAGAGGGAGGGGGGCTTACTTACGCGTTACGTCGTAGGGTTGATGTGTATGAGGATACAGTTTAGCAAAAATGAAGAAGCCGCGGTCGAACGTGCGTTGTCGTCCGACCTTGCTGTGTTGACGCGAGACGGCCTCGATAGGAATCTTATTAGTATTCATCTACAGTCGTGCACCTCGTATTCGGCGGGGTGAACCATATACAGTCTACGAGCTGCGAATATTTATAGAGGAACATATGGAATCCAAAATTTGGATTTTTTTACATTTATTTTTTTACATTTAATGTACTACTTTGTATTACCTTAATTAAGTACAAATCTCAAATCCATCTTCAACACAATACCAGTGTGATTCCAACAGTTTCGTATGGTCATTGTCGATACGTCTTGCCAACCTTCTGAGCACCACTTCATGGCTGTATAAATATTGACGGGGGTATACTTCTCGCCTTTGTAAAACATGTCCAGCTCGGCCTCCTGCTTCTTAGCACGGTAGTGGTCCTTGAGACTTTTAATAATCCCTTGGTCCATTGGCTGCAAGAAAGCGGTTGTGTTGGGAGGAAGCTTGTGAACAACGACGTTAGTTAGCTCAACAGCTTCGTCGTTATGAGACGACACGTTGTCTACGAGCAACAGTACATTCCGCTGTTGATCCACGATGGGCTCTGTAGCTGCCTTCCTGCACAATGTTTGCTTATTGGCGAGATTCAGCGTAGAATAGGCGGACGGGCGACGTGCCATGGCGTTTTGCGACAAAATTTATAATGTGCTGTTGCATGGTGAAGTGATTGAGCTGATACATCGTGGCGGAAGTGTGGCGTTTCATCCCTCCTCATATTATTGAGGTTATTTGGTCCAAAGGAGATGGGCAACTCATTTGCGCAATGCATGTGGCGCAATCATTAGATTGTGCAGGTTATTTATTAAGCAATACCGGGGCCGAAAACGAGGTGCACGACTGTACTCCCTTCTTTAAATCATGTTGCCTTCATGTACTGTACCACCCACCATCGGTGGTATCGTATATTGGAGCAACATCCACCTAATACCAGATAGCGTGAATGTTGACCCAGGCGGCTTGGAACGACATTCACCAGTGCTTTTTATGCTTTACCGTAGTTGATTAGGTATTCCGTCCTTTTAGCCTATCACTTGCAAGCCATTATACTTTAATAATTACGAATGTAGCACCCTAATATTTTATAGAGGATCGTCGACGGTTTTCGATCGCCCCTACAACTCTGGATGGGTCAGACCTAACTTAAGAAATAATTATTCTGATGATCTTGAATCAAGATTCTTGATGCAATCTCTTTTTTATTGCTGGCAATCACTGTATCTTCATCTTCCACCCAAAACCACCAACACTTGAAATAACATTTATACAAACGCTTCACAATATGTTTCGTTTAGCGGCGTGCTCGATATCTTGGGTTATTTCTGAGCCGCTACGAAAGTTAGCTCACATCAGCGCAAACGATAGTAATGGCCTGTCCAGCTTGCACTACTTACCTCCTATTTCAGCTTGTAAGTAACTAAAGATGGTTCATTTCTCAAACTCAATGAAAGCTACAAATATTCAAATTGTACTATTTTTAATGTATGTAGCGTTCATTTTGTGCTGATTCAGAATGAGCACTCGAATCTGTGCCAGCTATGATTGAAGCATTTGGATATTGTGTCGCAAGACGCCTTGCTGCTACGGTAGTGTTTTCTATTTGATAATTTAACGATGATTCCAGAATTATTGGACGTCATATAGGCTCCAAGTTTATTAACGTTTCTTTATGGGGTATACTTTACCAACTATAATTCATACCTCTCGTATTTTGTTGTTGTCTTGCCAATCCATTTAAAATCGTATCCTACGCCCTGTCGACGACACGTCCGCCAGTTAAGTAGTATCGGATTTTGCTGTCTAAACAGCTCGTAGAAAACAATGGCTTACAGCAGTCTCTTAGAAAACAATGGTTACAGCAGTAGCACATATGAGTTCATTCTATTCAATCTAAAGCTGTTTATCTTTATGGATCAGGTGACAACGTTTATTGGCACAGCGTTGTCTTTACGGACAGCTTCTGCTGTACGTGTACTACTATCTGGCAGCTCAAATAGTTACCTCACTCAGATATGTTCTTAATATTTCTACAACAAAACAGTTGTAGCTATTATTTTAGTCATTGTAGCTTGCAGAAACTTTTAAGAACATAGTATTACGTATATTATAGTATGGCTTCGAAAACACGCCTTCCTACGTGCAGCGGGGCTGCCGTAGCTTTAGCGTCAGAGGAAGACGCTCGA